CACCTTGGCCAGGCATGCTGGCCCTCACCTGTAATCTTAGCACTTTAGGAAACCAAGGCAGGCAGATCGTCTGAGCCCAGGAGTTTGAGGCCAGCCAGGGCAACATAGGGAGGCCCAGTCCCTAGAAAAAAATTTAAAAATTAGCCAGGTGTGCCGGGCGTGGTGGCTCAAGCCTGTAATCCCAGCACTTTGGGAGGCCGAGGCAGGTGGATCACGAGGTCAAGAGATCGAGACCATCCTGGTCAACATGATAAAACCCCGTCTCTACTAAAAATACAAAACATTAGCTGGGCATGGTGGCGTGTGCCTGTAATCCCAGCTACTCAGGAGGTTGAGGCAGAAGAATTGCCTGAACCCAGGAGGCGGAGGTTGCGGTGAGCTGAGATCGCACCTTTGCACTCCAGCCTGGGTAACAAGAGCGAAACTCCGTCTCAAAAAAAAAAAAAAAAAATTAGCCAAGTGTGGTGGCATGTGTCTGTAATACCANAAAAAAAAAAAAAATTAGCCAAGTGTGGTGGCATGTGTCTGTAATACCAGCTACTTGGGAGGCTGAAGTGGGAGGCTCACTTAAGCTTGGGAGGTTGAGTGTGCAGTGAGCCATGATTGCACCACTGCACTCCTACCTGGATGACCAGAGCAAGGCCCTGTATCCAAAAAAAAAAAAAAATGCATCCACCTGTAAATGCCCCAAATTGAACAATAAAAAAATTGTTAAACCAAAAAGACACAATTGCAATCAAAAACAAGATTAATGTTTTCATTCAATTAATATCTATTGAGTGCTACTATATGCAGTATCTCAAATGTAGGGGCTGAAGCCTCAGGTTTTTGACTCCTGGTCTGGAAACAGTCAGAGGTGGTTGAGAATCCAAGCCCTGTAGAATAACAAGGAAGAGGGAGACTAGAGTCAAGCTCAGAGGGAAAGGGAGTTGGAGAAGCTGTGACCAAGAGCCGAAACTATCTATAGTTTACATAAAACTTATCTACGGTCAGGCCACAGGAAAAAGAAGAGAGGCTGACAAAGAGGCACACGTGGAACCTGGACCCAGGCATTGCTGGATCCAAAATAATTCCCCATTATCACCGACAGGGAGGAATCCTGATCTGTGAGTACAGGACCTAATGTCCAAACTGAAGGTTCTGGTAACTACCCAAAGCGAAACTCTATAATTAAAAAAATGAAATCATGTGTTTTGCAACAACAGGCATGGAACTGGAGAACACTATCTTAAGTGAAACAAATCAGAAAACAGGAAGACAAATATTGCATGTTCTCACTCATAAGTGATAGCTAAAAAATGTGTACACAGGACGTAGAGGGTGGAATCATAGGATCAGGTATGGTGCTTCACACTGATAACGCCAGCATTTCAGGAAGCTGAGGTAGGAGGATTACTTGAGCCCAGGAGTTTGAGACCAGCCTTGGCAATATGTCGAGATCCTGTTTCTATGAATAATTTTTTTTTTTTTTAATTAGCCAGGACTTAGTGACACGGGTCTGTGGTCCCAGCTACTTGGGAGGTTGAGGCAGGAGGATCACCTGAGCCCAGGAGGTCAAGGTTGCAGGGAGCTGTAATTATGCCACCACACTCCAGCCTCGGTGACATAATGAGACTCCATCTCAAAAGAAAAAAAAAAAAAAAAGAAAAAAAAAAAAAAAAGGGTACAGCATACACTACTCAGGTGAACTAAAAGCCTTGACTTGACCACTACACAACCTATGCATGTAAGAAAATTGCACTTGTACCCCATAAATTTATACAAATAAAATAAAAACTAAATTGGAGGTTCCAAGTAGAGCCCATCACGAAATGACAATCTGGGATGAATATCAGCAGAAAGGAGGGAACTCTCGTTCAGAAACCTAACTCTACACTTCACATCACTCTAAGATTGTTCTGTCATTTACACTTTGTGGAAAGTGAATTCAGTTTCCAAATGTTGACTTTGTTGGCTGCTTTTCAAATCATGAGAAAAAAGTAAGAAGAAGCAAGAAAATAGATCTTAATAAAATGTAAGCAATAGACAAATCTTTTTTTTTTTTTTTTTTTTTTTTTTTTTTGAAAAGTTTTTTTTTTTTTTTTTTTTTTTTTTTTGGAGACGGAGTTTTACTCATGTTATCCAGGCTGGAGTGCAATGGCGCGGTCTCGGCTCACAGCAACCTCCGCCTCCTGGGTTCAGGCAATTCTCCTGCCTCAGCCTCCTGAGTAGCTGGGATTACAGGCACGCACCACCATGCCCAGCTAATTTTTTGTATTTTTAGTAGAGACGGGGTTTCACCATGTTGACCAGGATGGTCTCGATCTCTTGACCTCGTGATCCACCCGCCTCGGCCTCCCAAAGTGCTGGGATTACAGGCTTGAGCCACCGCGCCCGGCCTAGCAATAGACAAATCTTAACACGATTTTTCAGTAAGTACACTTAATGCCTCAAAAAGACAATAGAGTCAGGCACGGTGGCTCACGCCTGTAATCCCAGCACTTTGGGAGGCCATGGCATGCAGATCATTTGAGGTCAGGAGCTCGACACCAGCCTGGTCAACATGGTGAAACCCCGTCTCTACCAAAAATACAAAAATTAGCTAGGCATGGTGGCACGCACCTGTAGTCCCAGCTACTCAAGAGGCTGAAGCAGGAGAATCGAAAGGTGGAGGTTGCAGTGAGCACTCTAGCCTAGGCAACAAGAACAAAACTCTGTCTTAAAAAAAAAAAAAAAAAAAAAAAAAAAAAAAAAAAAAAAAAAAAAAAAAAAAAAAAAAAAGACTAGAAGAAATAATATTAAGAAAAAATAAACAATAAATTATGAAACAACATAAATGAAGCTCATCCTGTTGTGGTAGAGAATAAAAGAGACAAAGCTCATGTCTTGGGTGCTTCCTTCCTTTACTTGCTGAGGTCTTTGACTCAGTTCAGTTGCATTTCCATCTTTATAGGAGGATCGTAGCTGGCCAGACCCACTAAATATTGTGACGCCAAATGAGGACAGAGTGAATAAGGTAGAAAAGAAGAAAAGAATGAGAATGGGGCAGGTGCGTGGCTCACACCTATAATCCTAGCACTTTGGGAGGCCGAGGTGGGTGGATTACCTGAGGTCAGGAGTTCAAGACCAGCCTGGCCAACATGGTGAAACCCTGTCTCTAATAAAAATACAAAAAATTAGCCAAGTGCAGTGGCACACACCTGTAATCCCAGCTACTCAGGAGGCTGAGGTGAGAGAATCCCTTGAGCCCCGGAGGCAGAGGTTGCCCACTGCACTCCAGCCTGGATGACAGAGCAGGAATCCATTTAAAAAGAAAGAAAGAAAAAGGAAGGAAGGGAGGGAGGGAGGGAGGGAGAATGGTAGGGGCCATAGCTGGGGGTGGGAAGTCTGTCTAAAGAAGGCTGTAAGGCATTTGAAGTGTTGCTACCATCTACAAATTCCCTACCACATGAGAGTAAACTACTTTAGTTGCTGCAGTGTACAAAACTTCCCTGATACTGGAGAAAAAGGATTATGGCATAATACGCATAGCTTTAACTTAGCTATTTTTAAATTCATTTGGTGAACCTCTTTCTAAAATGTATTACATATATTTCTATTTTCTGGCCAGGCACAGTGCCTCATGCCTGTAATCCAGGCACTTTGGGAGGCCAAGGCAGGTGGATCACCTGAGATCCCAGCTACTCAGAAGCTGAGGCAGCAGAATCGCTTGAACCCGGGAGGCGAAGTTTGTGGTGAGCCGAGATGCACTCCAGTCTGGGCAACAAGAGTGAAACTCAGTCTAAAAAAAAAAAAATCCAAACATAAATGTTTATAGCAGCTTTATTTATAATTGCCAAAAATTAGAAGCAGCCAAGGTGTTCTTCAATAGCTGAGTGGGTGAACTGTGGTGCATTCATATAACGACATACTATTCAGTAATGAAAAGAAATGAGCCATCAAGCCACAAAAAGACATGTCAGAAACCTAAATGCAAACTGCTACGTGAGACAGGCCAGGATGCAAAGGCTATGTGCTGTATGATTCTAACCACATGACATTCTAAAAGGCAGAACTGCAAAGATTGTAATAAGATCAACTGTTGTCTGTAATCCCAGCACTTTGGGAGGCCGAGGCGGGTGGATCACGAGGTCAAGAGATCGAGACCATCCTGGTCAACATGGTGAAACCCCGTCTCTACTAAAA